GTACCGTAAATGCAGTTTGTACCAGCCAAAAGGCTGAGAAAAATAAACAAACACGATAATAATAATAATAAGCCTTTATTCATATACATTTGATTAAATTACATTATATTATTTAAAGTTTAAGTTAAGTAAGTATTTATAATAAGTTTATATCTGTTTGTCCCATGTTGACAAAGGCCTCTTCCTTCTAAAGGAAATATAATATGATACTTATAAAATGTCTTGTTTAACAAAATCAATGTCAAAACTGATATATAAACACGGCTAAACACTCACGTATATTCGTTCGGTGGCGGCACCGACTAGTTTCGAGCCCATCGGGGAGCCCTTCATCAGGATGAGTGGTATTATTTCGCGGACGCGGCCCGTCGCTCACATATCGTCTCAATCACACGTCGTTTATATATCAGTTTAGTATAATGTCTCACGAAAGTTTGAATAATTTAAAATCAATGTCAATAAATAACCGATAACCTTTAGCATGTGAAAAGACATAACCTAAACATAAACAAGTCAATAATATCTAAAAGGTCATTTTTATTATACCTACGCATTTCTAGACCTTAAAATAAAGTATGAATAAAAAATTACTTACAACTAATCCAATCAGAGTATAAAACAGCACGGAAAGGTCCCCAATTGCAATAAACGGAAGATAAAATTACTGTAGCGAGAAGTAAACGAAGGAGAAACATTTTGACAATCTAAAACACGTCTAACTCCGTCAACGATCGTTATGACACTGACTAGATGACAACACAAATCGCCTATATGATCCGCGCAAACGCACCTTTCGTTTCAATATAGTTTCTTCCCACGACTCTGTGTATTTAATCCTAGTATTGTCTTTAATCAAATCTGTTTTTTTTTTATTTAAACTTGCGAGTGACTGTATTTACATAAAACATAGGTATATTAGTATTTTGAAAATTATTTCAATGGGAAAGTATTAATTTACTCCTACGTATTGATAGGAGATGTTCAAAGTTTATTAACCATCAGGTAACATTTATTAAAACCTTCCAATTGTCTTTCAAAGCATTGACTTATAAGATTTTTTTAATCAAAATTCATCAAATTATTTGTCCACCAAAACTGGCTGGTATTGCGTAAAAATAACAATTAAATAAAAACAAATCTTATGGCTGTTCAATAAGGTTTATTTTGGTTTCTCTTTCAAAATCTTCATTTAGGAACTAGATGTAAACATACTTTTTTCCTTCCCTACCGTTTTTTTTTTATTTAGACAAATACAAGATTTATATGAGCCAATACTTACAATTTAAGTAGGTATAATTTTTATGTTTTTTTAATCTGTTAATATGTTTAAGAACCTAACGTGATGGATAAGTTTCCTCGTATGGTGACGAAAAATTAACAATTATTTGCTAAATCTTACTAATATTATAAATGGGATTTTTTGGACGAATCCATGTTTCGCATCGCTCCATGGATCTCGCAGAAATATAGTACTTCGATGTAGAAAATAGTCTGGAAGAAAACATGGCTTATTAAGTATTTTTTTTTGTTATTTTCGCGTAGACGGAGTCGCGTTCGACAGCTAGTAGATGATAAAAAGAATAAATATTTCACGGAATCTAGTTAAAACGGTACAGTACAGTACAAACAGTGGTAGAGCCCGCTTTAACATCTTCGCACGAATCGGCCCGGCTCGCCAGGTGAAATACCACGACCACACAGAAGACAGGCGTCAAGTGGAAGCTATTCCGCGTTTCGTCTGATGAGTGTGTGTCCCGGAGGCCTAATTTAGTCCTCTTTCCCTTCCCACCTTTTTCTTATAAGGAAAGGATGGGAAGTGGAAATAGACTTTCCGGATGAGAGGATGCATGGAAAGGGAATGTATTTTCTTTCTGTGCATCCTCTCCTCCGTCGATTAAAGGTAGGCAACGCATATGCAATTGCGTATGTCTATGGGCAACGGTCACTTCGCTATATCAGCGATTTCAGGTGGCCGCTCGCTCGTTTGCCACCTTATGATATAAAAAAAAACAGTTAAAAATATCACGTTAAAAATAAATAAGAAAATAAAAGAAGCAAGCGAAATAATCCATTTACGTAGTAGTAATTAAGTCGTTATCACCCCGATCCGATCTCAAAGTTTTTAATTGACTCCTCTCGCCCTGTCCACTTCACCCCTCCATTGCGCCCTCACTTTGTGTCAGTTATCTTGATTCGTTAGGACCGATAATTACTTCATGAAACGTTCCACGAAACAGGGATATTGGATATTAAATATTTTACTGCACAGATTATAAATGATATTGTTATTTATTCCTAACTGTCGAACTCGACTCCCTTCATGCGGGATTGAAAAAAAATTAAGTAGCCTATGTGTTCTTACAGACTATGTTCTACATGTATGCCAAATTTCATCAAGATCCATTAATCCATTCTGGAGATACCATCAAACAAACCATCCATCCATCCATATAAACATTCGCATTTGTAATAATTTAAATTGTTATTTATTCCTAACTGTCGAACTCGACTCCCTTCATGCGGGATTGAAAAAAAAATTAAGTAGCCTATGTGTTCTTACAGACTATGTTCTACATGTATGCCAAATTTCATCAAGATCCATTAATCCGTTCTGGAGATACCATTAAACAAACCATCCATCCATCCATATAAACATTCGCATTTGTAATAATTTAAATTGTTATTTATTGCTAACTGTCGAACACGCTTCTGTCTAGTCTGTTAGGAATTTAAAAAAATAAAAACCTTAATTAATAGCCTTTGTGTTGTGCCGGACTATGCTGTACATCTATGCAAAATTTC